TTCTCCCATGAATTCCAGTAGTTTTCTTCCCTCTGCATTGATTAATTTGTCTTTCGACTTTCTTTTCTTTTCCTCTTTCCTCTCCTCTTCCGCATTCTCCTTATCTCTGATTCTACCTCCCTTTTTCTTGTCCTCGCATTAAAATCTCCTCCTATTATTGTGTAAACCTCCTCCTCTTTCTCCTCCGTCCACTTCTCCCTGCACGCCTTCTCTATTCCTTCTCCTACGTATACTCCTATCACCCTCCATTTTTCCTTCCCTATCTTTACTCTTTCTACCACAAAGCTCTTCTTACTCAGCTCCATCATTCCTCCCTTCTCTGCAATCTCCTTTTTTATCCCCATAATCATGCCTCCTTTCGCTCTTCCTCTCTCTTCTTCTTTCTACTTGCTCCTTGCACTCCCCATACGTATCCTTTCGGTAGGTACCTTCTCATCTTCTTCCATCCTTCCTCTTCCATCCATGTTTCTGATAACACTATTACATCCCATTCTTCTAATCCTTTCCAAAAATCTATGTCCTTATTCCCTACTCCCGCTACGTTCCAGAAAACTATCTTCCATCCTTTTCTTCTCTTCTCTTTTTCCCTCTCTTTCTCTATCTCTCTACTTTAGCCCATCTTCCTTTCCCCTCTCCTCTTCCCCCATTATCATATTCTTTACATTTCCCTTCTCATCTCTCAGAACTTCCTTCTCCTCATCCCATCTCCACCATTTTTCTCTATTTTTATCTTGCCATTACTTACCCATGTCCTTTCTCCTCTTTTCTCTTCTCTCCTTGCTATCTCTCCCAACTTTTGTCTTATCTCCCTTTCTTTCCATGTTAAATCCGTGTCTATCCTTTCTTTTCTGCCTTTCAGCCTCTTTTTCTTCTCCATCACTTCCCATTTCTGTTCTTCCTTCTCCAATTCCACCACCACCATTTCTCTCCCCATTTCTCTATCCTCCCCTATTTTCCTTATTTTCATTATCCTCGCTCTCGCCTCTATCTCCTCTAACAATTTTTCGGCTCCCCCTCTTCTTTTCCCTTCTTTGACTAATAAGCCTTTTATTACTATATTCTTTCTTTTTTCCTCTTTTTCTAATATCTCCCATTTCCTTTCCATTTCCCCTACTCTCTTTTGTAAACCATTTCCTGTGTGCTCTCTTCTTTCTTTCTCTCCCTCCTCCTTTTCGTCCATCTTCCTCTCCAGTCCCTCTATCCTCCTCTTCATACCTTCCATGTTCTCTATTATTTCTTTCTTCTCTCTCTCTTTTCCATCTTTCCATCTGTATCTTGTAATCTCTTCTTATCTCCTCCATCTCTCCTCTTATCCTCTCTCCCTGTTCCTTTATTTCCTCCCTAATCTCCCTCATTTCTTGCCACATATCTTGCAACAATCTTTTGATCTCTCCCTTCTCTCCATCCTCTTCACCACCTTTTTCCGGTGATCTCGTTGTCTTATTGCTTCTTTTAAAGATCTCTTCGCTCCCTTCTCCCGTTTTTTCCTCTAACTCCCTTTTTCCTCTTCAGTAGATCTTCTATATTCCCTAGACTTCCACTTCTTTCTTTTCCCTTTTTACCTAACGATCCTATTATTCCTCCTCCCTCCGCTCCCTTGCTTCCTTCTTTCTTCCCGCTCCACATGTTTTCAAACCCTTTTAATCCAAATCCTCTCCGTTTTCCTCTCTATACTCTTCTTTTCCCCTGTTTTCCTTTTTGCCTACTTCTCGCCACTCTACGTTCTTCCTAATCCTTGCTTCTTCTTTCCTAAATTCCCTAGCTATTCCCTAGCACCTTTACTCTATTTTCTGCACCCCGCTTTTTTTCTTTATACCCTATACTCCCTGCCCACTCTCAGCTGTCACCAGCCTCCTATTTCTCTCTTTCCTACTTTCTCTGTCTAACTATTCTCTCTCACACTACTCTCTCACCCTCTCACTCTTCTCCCTCTTCCTTTTCAAACTATCCTCTTCACTATCTCTGTGCTCTAACCCCTTTAATCGCCCTCAACTCTTCACTATCACACACCACGTGTACTCTAATTTTGCACCAGAAACGGAAGTCTTGTTATTGTAATTATTTAACTCATATATAATAGAAATAAAGCCCTAAAGAATCGACAATGACGCGTATGTAGTGCACATCGGCGAAGGATACTTTGACCGCCCACGTCTCTGAAACTAGCCATAGGATTCGGTTGTGCCTATGGAGACTTTTCATCAGGGACCTCAGAACTACAACATATTTCAATTTCAAGCAATTCGACTAAAAGCCAATTTCCATAAGAAATGTGCGGGGTCCTTTGCGTAACTTTTCGATAAATATCTGAGGATCTTCTGGTGGGTCTTCGTCTACGAAGAATTCTCCGGGTAGACGAATTGGAGTTCCATAAACCAATTCTGCTGCACTGGTCTTCAAGTTCTCTTTGATGCTGGCTCGTAGTCCCAACAGGACCGTAGGGAGGATGTCTACCCACTCGGTGGATGCATGGCAGCGGATGGCGGATTTAAGAGAGCTGTGAAATCGTTCTACCATCCCATTGGAGGAAGGATGGTAGGCTGTAGTTCTAGTCCTGTGTGCGCCTATGAGCTGAATGAGGGCCTGAAGCAATCTAGATTCAAACTAAGAACCGCGGTCCGTGGTTACGGTTGCTAGAGCGCCAAAACGAGAAATCCACGTTGCATGGAATGCATCCGCGATTGTATCTGCGCTGATCGGAATAGCCTCCGGCCATCTGGTAAATCTATCTATTGCAGTTAGGCAATACTGGTACCCGCGGGACGGCGGCAGAGGACTGACGATGTCGAGATGAACCTAGTGGAATCTGCTGTCCGGGACTCGAATGTGTTCTGGCAGGTTTTTGTAATGTCTCTGGATCTTTGCACGTTGGCATGCTAAACAGGTCTTGACCCACTCTGAGGCGTCCTTATTTAGACCCGACCAAACAAATCGGCGTGCGATTAGATCTCGGGTAGCTCGGATTCCTGGATGCGATAGGCGGTGCACCGTATCGAATATTCTGCGGCGTAGGATGCGAGGTATGTATGGACGAATTTCTTCGGTGGAAACGTCACAGAATATTGTGTGTTCTGAGTCGTCGAGGCGTAATTTACGAAGTTGCAAATTTGTTGTTGATGATTTTACTAGTTCTTGCAGCTCTTCATCCTTTAGTTGCTCGAGTGTGATGTCCTCAGTGGAGATAATTGTAGGCATGTGTATCTCTTGGATTCGAGATAGTGCGTCTGCGACTGTGTTTTGCGTTCCAGGAAGAGTAAACCAGGTGAGTAGTGAATTGTGAGATATAATCCAGTTGGCGCAGCTGTCTAGGAGATGCTCGGTCTGACTTATGATCGAAAGTATATATTAACGGCTTGTGGTCCGTTGCTACTGTACATTCACGACCTTCTACGAAATGCCGGAAATATTTTAGGGCTTTATAAACCGCTAGGAGCTCACGGTCGTAGGTGCTATACTTTCTTTGTGTTTCGGTTAGTTTTTGTGAGAAAAAACTTAAGGATACGTACACGTCCCTTTAGAGTTGTTGCAGTGCGGCACCAATGGCTGTGTCTAAGGCATCTGTTTGCAACACCAGAGGTGCTCCTTCTTTTGGGTGTGCCAGGAGAGTAGCTTCTTCTAGTTGTCTTTTGCTTTGTTCGAATGCTTCCCGCGTCTCCGGTGTCCAAACTATTGTTCGGTTGTCTCGCTTAATTGTTCCGGTGAGTTTGTGTAGGGGTGCTTGAATTAATGCTGCTCCTTTAAGTAGGCGTCGGTAAAAGTTGATGAAACCAAGGAATCTGCGTAGTTCCTTGACGGTATTCGGTATGGGATAGTCTCTAATTACAGCTATGCGCTCTTGGAAAGGGGCGATACTCTCCTGACTAATGGTATATTCCAGATAACGGACCTTCTCGGCTCTGAAGATACATTTTTCCACATTGATAGATAGACCGTATTGCTGTAGCCGTGACAGGATTTCACGCACATGTGTTGCGTGTTGCTCTGGTGTTGTAAATGCGATCAAAATGTCGTCACTGTAGCAAAACGCATATTCCACCCCTCGTAGGACCGTACCCATCAGGCGCTGAAACGTCTGCACAGCGTTGCAGAGACCGAAGGTCATCTTGTTGAACTGGAACAAACCAAAAGGAGTGATTACGACGGTCTTGGGTCTGTCCTCTGGAGCCACTGGAATTTGGTGGAATGCTTTGTTGAGGTCAAGCATAGTAAAAATTTTGCATTTATGTAAACGGTGCGTAAAATCATGTAAATGAGGGACGGGATATCTGTCAGGTATCGTGACTTTGTTTAATGGACGATAATCGCCACATGGTTTCCATGTTCCATTGGATTTCTACACCATATGCAGCGGAGAGGCCCATGAGCTAGAGGATGGCTCGCAAATACCCTGCTGGATGAGGTTTTGGAATTCGATTCGGGCTGCCTTATAACGGGTTGGTAAAAGGCGCCTAGCTCGCTCTGCTACAGGGTGTCCGTTAGTGATTATATAATGTTGCACGCCGTGCGTGGGTTCCTGGCTTTTGATTAGACGTTTTACTTCGTCGAATTCCAGTAGAATTTTCCTGTAACAGTTATCGTAGCTGATTTTTGTTAAACTTGAAGCGTTGCATGTTGTGATTGCACCTAGCACGTGCAATTTTGTCTCTATATCGATTAGTCGGCGGTTGTGGAAATCGACAAGCAGTTTAAAATGTTTTATAAAGTCGGCACCCAATATCGGTTGTTGAACGTCAGCTACAATGAATCACCAAACAAAATTTCTGCGTAATGCAAGGTTGAGTTTCATTTGAGCTCTCCGTAAGTGGGAATGATAGTGCCGTTGGCTGCGTAAATTGTAAATCTAGCACGGGTAGGTTGTTTGCCTTTCATGCGTTTTTGTAGAACTGAAACGTCTGCACCGGTGTCCACTAGGAAATTCATCCTTGAGTATTGATCCATGACTGTGAGGCAATTTGACGTCTCATTGATCTCTGTAGTCGCCCCTATGTACGGAGATTTTACTAGTTTTCCTGCGGCTTAGCTCCTTGAGTCCACGTACAAGGGTTCTGGCACTTCCTTGCGCTGGCACCAAATCTATTATGATAGTAACAGAACTCAGGCTTATTTGAATGCGTAGGTGCAGGTGTCAATGCTCTAGGTTGGTTTTTTCTTCCTCTGCTACGGGAGCGACGGAATCGTTTGTTGCGATCTAGTTGTTTCTGTATTTTTGAGACCTGTAATGTGAGTGCGTTAAGTAACTCTTCTAATGTAGACTGCGTACCTGAGGTAGCCTGTGTGTTTGGACTCTTTGCAGGCACGATTTGGGTTGCTGCCATCATTGGTCTCATCACGTCTAGTGCCTTATCAGCCATCTCTGCTAACCGCTGGAGATCTGATGTGTCGGAGATTGCAAGTATTGCTCGAGCAGCTTCTGGTAACTGCTTAAAGAACAGAGAGCGGATGACGGCGTCTCCACACTGGTCCCCTGCGAGGGCTCGTAAACGATGTAAATAAGCCGTCAGTTTCTCATCACGCATTTCGTGGCCACGGAGTAGGCGTCGGAGGCGTGCTTCATCTCCTTTATCATAGGCGGACATAACGCGCCGCTTGATGCTTTCATATTTATTTTGAGCGGGCGGATTTATAACGAGATCGGACACGCTACGCAGAGCTTCGCCGGACAATTGTGTGGCAACGTATTTGAACTTTGTGATATCAGACGTTATATTGTAGTTAGCAAAAACTAGGTCTACCTGGGCGAACCATAGCCGTGGATCGGCCTGATAAAATGGCGGCAGTTCGATATGGCGAGAAGATATCATTGAAACTCCGCCGTTGGGCTCGCGTCCTTGGGGTGTCTGGTTGCTACCGGGCTGATTTTGGGTTGTGCCAGCGCCCAGAACGTCTGTTCCTCGTGTAGGCGATCTGTCTACAAGCATCTTTTCTTACGCGGTATCACGTCGGGGTCACCAATGTAGCGCTCGTGTATGTATATATATATTTTAGCGGGAAGGAGATTCCTGTTGAGGCGTCTTGGATGCAGGTAAGTATATAATATCTATTTGGAAACCACTGCTGAGGCGTTTCAGATCGATAAGTATGTGGTAAATATATTTTCTATATCTTTTTAAATATATAAGAATACTTTATTACTTCTTTGGTAACAGACAGTATCACAGTATTAAAAGGCAGACAAAAGAGAGTGTGTTCGGCGGAAGAACTTAGATTACTTAATATCTAGATAGGAATCATCTTTGGCTAGTGCGCATGTGCGCGGTATAAAGTTACTAGAGAGGTGCCATAGTGGCCGATCGCACGCCGCCATCTTGCGGCGGCACGGTGCGGGAATAGTGTTGTTTTAAACGTTTTAATTTTTATATATAAGATATTTAAACTCGTAAATTATTGCAGAGATAGCCTATCTCTGCAATAATTAACGAGTTTAAATATCTTATATATAAAAATCAAAACTTTTAATTTACATTTAGTTGAGTTGAAAATAATTTTAATGGATTAATAAAACTTTTTTTGCGATTAAAACGACACCAAACACGGCATAAATTCGATAATTTTTAATTAGACAGGTAATTAAAAGTCAAATCGGGTTCAATTCTTATTACTCACACTGTTTTTTTTCATTTATGTAAATTAGAATATTTATTTATGTAAAATAAAATTAAGGATCGACAGGCGACATGGTGGAGACGCCTATCGGCCAGCCGGGAATTACAAATTCTTATTTTTAGATATTAGCCAAAATATTGAATGAATCTTATTAAATTTAGGATATTCTTAATCAGTAAGCTTATTTGTAGTCCTCTAAAGAGCTATTTTATGAAAAAAAGATAAAAATAAAAATTTTCAATAAACTTGGAGGAATGCGCAGCTAGGAACGGGTAAGGTTGGGTTAGCCGTGAGTCCGTATTTTATTTATTATAAATTTTTAAGAGCAAAAATGTAATATCCGGCCTTTTAGAAGACTGCTTTATTATATAAAGAATATATTAAAAAAAATTCACGAAGTTATGTCACTTATTTTATGAAATATCTGGACGATAAGATTCTCACTAGATTCATAAGAAGCAGGGGAAATTTCTGTGGTAACATACTGACTGCTTGACAAGGAGAGAGCATCATTCCATCTTTGTCTCTCTTACATCGCATATGTAGTAGCGTCCATGTAGGTACAAACACTAATACGTGAGCACACGGATGCAAATATTGAGAGATAATGTCAGCAAAAAGGCTATCATATTATTTTTATTTTTTTGTATATGTATGCATATGTAAATAAAGAACAAAATATAAACTATTTTAAATAATAAGAATCTTTGTGTGTGTGTGTGTGTGTGTGTGTGTGTGTGTAATTAAAAATTAATAAAAAAATTAAAAAATCAATTTATATACCATATATTTTTTTATATCATATAAAAAAATCCTAGAAATGTACTTAAATTTTCGTAGATCCTCGATTTTTTTCATTGCTTCTAAACATTCAGCTAAAAGAGCAGTTGAGACTATTCGAATAAAAAATATGTTATCTTATTTTTTGCAAATAATATAATATATTTTTTAGGAGTCCAAAAATATATGTTACGCATAAGTTATTTATAAATTTCGTTCAAATTAAGAGAATATTGTATTGAATATATTGTAATGCATATACACATTAATTTTTATTAATTTACTTGTTTAACAAAAACATGGTTTTTTTGATAATAATTTAAAATTATTTCTGCTCAGTGATTTTTAAATAGCCGCAGTATATTGACGGTGCAAAGGTAGCATAATCAATTGTTTTTTAAATGAAAACTGGAATGAAGGAATTGATTAAATTAAAGCTGTTTTAATTTGTAGATTTAAAATTTAAATTTTAAGTTAAAATTCTTAAAAGAAATTATGGGACGAGAAGATCCTATTAAATTTAATATAATTTTTATATTTAAAGAAATAAATTTTATTTTAATGATTATATTTTATTGGGAGGATAATTAAATAAAATGAACTTTAATTTAAAGATAATTTTAACATTAATTAATAAAAAAGGATTGATTATTAAATTAAGAAAAATTTTTTTTTTTTATAATAATTATTATAAAAATTAATTACCTTAGGGATAACAGCGTAATATTTTTAGAAAGATCATATTAATAAAAACGATTGCGACCTCGATGTTGAATTAAAATAAAAATTAAATGAAAAAGTTTAATATTTTAGTCTGTTCGACTAATAAAATTTTACATGATTTGAGTTCAGATCGGTGTAAGCCAGATCGGTTTCTATCTATAATAAAATTAAGAAAATTTTGTACGAAAGGACTTTTTTTTAAATTATATTTTTTAATGAATAAATTTAATTGATTAAATATATGTAAATAAATAAAATTACTTTGGCAAAATTTAAGTGTATTAAATTTAGAATTTAAATGATGTATAATAGAAAAAAGTTATACAAGTAATAATTTGTCAAAATTTAAGATTATATTTTTATAGTGCGTTAAATATATTAAGATTGTTAATTTTGTTATTAATTATATTAGTTGGGGTAGCTTTTTAACTTTATTGGAACAAAAAATTTTAAGATATGTACAAATTCGTAAAGAACCTAATAAGGTGGGATTTATAGGATTATTTCAACCTTTTAGTGATGCTATTAAATTACTTAATAAAGAATTATTTTATGTATATAAATCTAATTATAATTTTTTTTATTTATGTCCTATAATTAGATTTGTTTTAATAATAATATGATTAGTATTTCCTTACATTACTAATATTTATTTTTTAAATTATTCTATTTTATTAATAATTGTTTTTATAACTATTAGAGGGTATGTTATAATTTTTATGGGATGATCAGCTAATTCGATTTATTCAATAATAGGGGCAATACGATCAGTTTCACAAATATTATCATATGAAGTAAGATTTATTTTAATTATTTTAGTTATTATATTAATAAGAGAGAGATATTCTTTTTTTGATTTTATTAATTATCAATTTTATTTATGATATATAGTAGTTTTATATCCTTTGTTTATTATAGTTTTTATTAGGATTTTAGCTGAATTAAATCGAAGTCCTATAGATTTTATCGAAGGTGGGTCAGAATTAGTTTCAGGGTTTAATATTGAATATTTTAGAGGTAGGTTTACATTAATTTTTTTATCTGAATATGGAATAATTATTTTTTTTTTTTTAATTAATTAGAATTTATATATTTAAGAATTTATTAAAATATTCAATAATTTTAACTTTTATTTTAATTAATATTTTATGTAGAATATTAATTTTTATACATGGAATACTTCCTCGAATACAATATGATGAATTAATATATTTATGTTGGAAAATTATTTTACCAATAATTTTAGTTTATATTTTATTAATTTTTGGATTTAAATTTATATTATTAATAATAATTTAGTAAAAAAAAATAAATGTTTAAAAGTTAATAGAAAATTAAAATGTCTTTAATATGTTTTCAAAACATAAACTTAAATTTAAGATCATGAACTTAATTTAATAGTAATTTATAAAAAATTTAAGTATTAAATATAATTATTTTTAATATTTTAAATTTATTTATAATAATAAATTTTAAAATATTTATTTAAAAATAATTAAATCTCAAATTTTTATTATAAGAAAGGTAATAAGATAAAATAAAGAAAGTAACATAATGATAAAATTTGTCTAATAATGATAAAAGGTATTTCAATAGATTGAGCTCCTGCTCATGTTAATAGAATAAAAATATTAATGAAAATTCAAAATAAATATTGATTTAAAGGATAAAATGATAATGAATTAAATTTTATAGAAATTAGAGGTAAAAAGTATAAGATAATAATTGATGATAATAATGCAATTACACCTCTTAATTTGTTAGGGATAGATCGGAGGATAGCATAAGCATATAGAAAATATCATTCAGGTTTAATATGAATTGAAAATGTATTTTATAAATAAATGAAATATTATATATATATAATATATAAGTTTATATATATATATATATATATATATATATATATATACACAGATATGACAACCGTTATCTTGATTTTTTCCGATTATTGATGTTACATTGCGTATAACTCTCATTTCTTTCTCTCTGCTACATAAGTACTTATGACGTGAAAAAACTTACGAGTAACGTATGATGGCTCAATGCAAGAATATTTAATCACGTAAAAAACTTGAGTTCAAATATATCAATATCAATTTTTTTATAATATATTGAAATATAGAAAATCATAGAAATATATTTTTTATATAGGCGATAAACTTAAAAATTTGATATTGAAAATATTTTAATCATTTTATAACTACACACACTATAAATATATAAATGCAAAATAATTTCGTAAATAAATTTCAAGTAATAAATCAATTGCACACATGCACACAGCTGGTATGTAGATTTTTATTAAATTTATTTTCTGAATTATTTTACACTTATATATAGTGTATGTAGTCAAAATATTTTCAATATATTAAAAAATTTTTTAATCGCCGAAATATATTTTTTTATCATTTTTCTATATTCCAATATATATATATATATATATATATATTATAAAAAAATTAATATTGATATATTTGAACTCTAATTTACTGGATGATATACTGAACATCCTTGCATTGATTATACATTACTCAACGTTCTTTCACGTTATAAATATTTGGAGCAAATTATACAATAGCATCAATAATCAAAAAGAAATCAAGAATAATCAACATATTCCTTATATAATATATATACATATATGTATATATATATATATATATATATATATATATATACGCACATATGTGCATAAGCATATATAAAATTTACAAAAAGTAGGTACTTATTAGCCTTGCTACGCTACTGCCTTGTGCTACGGAAGGCCATTTTCAGGCGGCATCTCGCGTATACCGGCACGGTAGAGGAACAAGGAGAACACGTGATTATCGGTCCTTGTCTCTCTACGGTGCGTCCGCGTGAGCAATGCAATGGTGTATGTACGTGTACAGACATGCACCACTACATAAAACCCGAGAATTGGTTTCTCGGCGTTGGCAACACTGAAATCGGAGTTTCGCGTTGTCACCGCGCGAGGTCTCCAACATCAATTCGGAGTTTGGCTGACCGACCTGTCGACCCTTAATTTAATAATTTTGTTTTTTCTTTTTGCACTTGCAATTTTTTATACAGATACACAACTGGATAATTTTTATTTTACATAATCTTATTTTATACATTGTACCTAATATAAAATAAAGCAAATAAAACGCTATTGCAAAAGTTAAAATAAAAGTTAAAAAAATATTAAATTAATTGTTTTACATAATTAAATATTCCAATTTGCATAAATAAAGTGTCAGTGACAGGAATTGCACCCGAGTCAACAGCATGATAACCGCGAACTTTATAGTGTGTATGTACTATTCCGACTTCTCGAAAATCAATTTAACCGAGCCGAATATAAAAATTGCCATATATTGTTTAAATTAATTTTTTTTGAAAATAATTAATTGTAAAGTTTACGCCCTATCCCTTTACTGGCAAAATATTTTTATTCCATCTCAAATATTTATAGTAAATCATCTCTATATATAATGACTTTTGGGCTGGAAAATAAATAATAAAATATTTTAATAAAAAGCAAATTAAAAAGATATGTACATAATTTTTTTATGTATTGCCTATAAAGTCAACGTCATAAAAATTATAACCCCTGAATTACGCGAACGCTACGCGCGAAAGACGAAACCTCGTGCCTGCGGCCGCACAAGTCCACGAGACGCATCGGTGAAGTGAGACAAAGCCAGAGCGATGGATCGTTGGTCCTTGTCTGACTTATTGTTAGCTGTTCAGTTCTCAACTTGGTTCTTAGCTGAATAGTTCCGACATGAACCATATCGCGGAATCAAACCATTTACCGTATTTTTTACCGAGCGTCACGGCGTAGTTTATGTCCACTTTGTCAGGGGACGCACTAGTAGACGCGGCCGCTGACACTGAATCCCGGTGGCCGCTCTCCTGGCTTTATCGAATCCTCTTTGGACGGACTCACCCTCTGTATTATATGATTGAAGTCTCTGCTAGCGCTTGTGTTATTACGCATGCGCGAGATCCGTCTCCAGTCCCTCCAATTCTCATATTCTTAACATTGTCTGCGGTTTAGTTATTTGCATTTGCAAGTACAACTCAAAGAGCAAAGTCGATAAAATCGGCGACACATATATAGATTTCGTTCCATTCCGTAAGTTTCTCGTTCGGATCGTGTGTCTCATCATTTAGGAAGCGTGTGTATCAATCAATATAGCTTTAAATAATATTTACATTTTCAAAATATCGTACATTAAGCGTATAATTGCACTTAAGTTGCACTATGGATAAGGAGACAGAAGAAGAGCGAAGAGGTAATTTTCAAATGATATTAATGCGTTTTTCTCGCATTTTTCTTAAAATCATGAAGAAACGAGAAACAAAATAATATATACTGAATGATATCGGGTAAATGTTTTTTTTGTAACCCAACTTTATATATATATATATATATTTTTTTTTACAAATATAAGGTTTGTTATTTTTAATTGAACTGAAATAGATTAAACCGTGAAATATAATTTTGGTAATCTCGGAAAGAGAGAGCGAGAGAGAGGAAAAACGAAAAGTGCAAGTAAAGTTTAACTAAAAAGAATAAATATACGTTTTGTGTATTATAGTTCTGAATCTGCTATTTGTTAGAATATAAAACGTACATATATATATATATACATATGTAAACAGCTGGTAAAATGTAGGACAAAATTAGGTTAGGATACTAATTAAATCAATTCTGTAATTGAGTGATTTATTATTTAATTAACATTCAGACAGTTAGTCTATAACTATATAGGAAAAAATTGAAAACACAATATGGAAAACTCATAAATAATTTTTAGGCCGTTTTTAACAAAAATAATTCTAATAATATCCATAAATATCATGATTAGTAAAAATATTTATTATTAGAATGTAATGCGTACTTTAAATGTTGTATACAAAGTATTTTTTTTCCTATGTTCTAGACAACAATTCAGATGAAGAAAAACAAAACGTCTCTCCTGAATCATCGGAGGTAGAAGATTCTGAAATGGAAAAGTTACGAAGATATCTAATCCAAAAATTGAGACTTATCGATTTGTCAACAAGTAATCAAAGTGACCAGTCACAACAAAAAGTTCTTCGTGAACTTAGTTTAGATGGAGTTGTTGAGTACATTAAAGAAAAGCCGGATTGCAAAATTGTTACTATGGCTGGTGCTGGAATCTCTACCTGTTAGTATATATTTAAACACATATAGCTTTTTATATTTAATAATAATTATATTGTTATATTGCTGATATTAATGTAATAAATATGTTTACATAAATGTTTATTTCTGTTTTACAGCTGCTGGAATACCAGATTTTCGATCACCATCTAGTGGGCTTTACCATAAATTAGACAAATATAATTTACCTTATCCACAGGCTATTTTGAGTTAGATTTTTTCACAAAAAATCCTGAACCATTCTTCACACTTGCAAGAGAATTGTTGCCAGAAGGATTTCGACCTACGAAGAGTCATTATTTTATTCGTATGCTATGGGAAAAAGGTCTGCTACTCAGACATTATACACAAAATATTGATACACTGGAACGTGTAGCTGGATTACCTTCTGAAAAATTAGTGGAAGCTCATGGAACATTTCATACTGGTCGTTGTCTTAAATGCCGAGCGCCATATATGCTCGCATGGATGAAAGGTAATTTGCAACTAGCATTTTTTTATAACGCAACTACCTGTTTTTTTACATCAATCAATTTCTCATTATTTTGCGCTTAAAAATATTAAGGTAAGAATATCGAAAAATGAATATTTTACAAGATATTTCATCACCATATAGTTTATGAAAGATTACATTAATTAAAAGTATAAAATATTTTGATGTATTTGTTACTTGATTATCGTAGTCGTCAGTAAGAATTAAATTAAACTTATTAAATTCATAAAAAAAAGACCAATACTGAACTAAAAAATTTTTTTTATTTATTAACTCATGAGAATAATCACTCAGTTATAAGCAAACATAGAGTGGATTTTAAACATGAATTTGACTAGGAAAATCCGGAATATTTTACATAACGAGAGACATACAAAAAATAGAAAGCAGAAATGTTTTTTTATAAAAAGGTTAACAATAAACGCTCAAAAAGATACAGACAACCTAAACATTATTTATGATAAGGTCATTAGAATTGTTGAAAAGCTAATATTGTACTGACGAATTGCTTACATACCAACGAGATGTCTTAAGAGACACAAATTTTAATATATAGTGATTGATGTTTTTAAAAATTAACATCACTTTAATTATATTGACATCTTAAAAGAATTGTAAGTTTTTAATTTTAATTTTACTTCTTTTTTGCTTATCTGTTGTGATTGATCTCGTATAATTGATGTAATTGCATTTGTTGTATGTATAATTTCAGAATCATTTGATAAAGACCTAAAACACAGGTCGAAATGTCATGAGTTAAATAAAGAAAATTTTTTGTCTAGTATTGGTCGTTTTTTTATGAATTTAATAAGTTTAAAGTATAAAATATCTCGTAAATTATTTACTTTTTGACTATACTATCCTTATAACTTTTTATGCAAAATATTGTAAGAAATTGATTTATATAAAAAATATTGTAAGAAATCGATTTATGTAAAAGAAATATTGTGTTCTATTTAAAAAAAAAATTAATTTGATCTTGAAATAACCCTTAAATTTGATCTCTAAATCAAGGTCAATGTCACTTTGAAATTGCTACTTTTGTATTCAACATTTTTTTTTATATTACATTCTTTACTCAACTTTCTGATTTGGTAATTTTAAATATACTAAGCTCATGAATAAGTGTTTTAATTTGCATCTAAGTAAAAATTTTTTTAGTATCTAATTCAAAATTATTACTTGAAAAGATATACAGAAAAGTTATTTAATAATAATTTTTTTTAGAAAGCGTTATGTTAAAATATATAAGATATAATAATTTATATCATGAAATTACTAAATACTTATATACATATAATTAATATTTTTTATGGAATTGTTTCTTACAGTTGTTTATCTCACATTTATATATATATATATATATATATATATATATATATATATATATATAATATTTGGAAATATAACAATTTTGAGTAAATTGCACTTTTCAAATAAATTCATAATCAATTAAGATACTAGCAAGACATTAATTTAATAAGATACTAATTATATAGCTTTAAATTATAGAAAAAATCTTAGAAGGTAATATACCAACGTGCGAAGAATGCAACGAAGGTGTCGTAAAACCTGATATAGTCTTTTTCGGTGAAATGTTACCTGAACGTTTTCAAGTACTTGCTGATCGAGATTTTGTAGAAGCTGATCTTTTAATTATTATGGGATCAAGTTTGGTAGTACAACCTTTTGCATCGTTAGTAGACAGGTATGTATAAATAAGATATAGTTTTATTCTAGGATGCATATAAGCCTATACATATAGAGTATGTAATTTATTCCTTAGCAAAATTACGTCTGTGTAGCTTTTAATCATTTATGGTATAATTAACCATTTTTATTGTCTCGATCATAAAAAATGACCACAATCTAAATATTTCTAATTGCATGCATGCATAATGTATGATGTATTTTACGATATAATAATAGACGATTTGTATATGTATAAGGAAATAAAAACGTATTTTTATATGTTGACATTTTTTTCTTTGTTTTTCGTTATTTATATTAAAAGAAAAATACAACGAATTTTTTAGTATAAAAAAAAGTTGTTTCAACACATGAAGAAACATATATAATATACATGTTTTATAACATAAGAAATATACATGTTTTATGTTCTATAACATTTAAAAATTGTATAGGATAAATTGCATAACAGACATATATTTTGATAACTTTTATATCAAGTTTTTATATTTATATAATTTGTGATATGTGAACATAAAAAATACATATTTTTTACCATGTTTTTTCATGCATTGAAACAACTTATTGATTGTGGTAAAATAATTTGTCGCATTTTTATTTCAATATATATCAGAAATTATTAAATAAAAATGTCAATACAAATAAGTACAATTTCTTTATATGAATCATTTATGTCGTAAAGTACATCATATATTGTGTGCATACACAATTAGAAATATTTAGCTTGTGGTTATTTTATAATGTGAGGCATAAGGCAAAAGAAGGTATCTATAGTGTAGAACAAGCATAACGTAAGCATGATGCATATTTAAAGTAACATATTTGAAGTTTATAAATATAAATGTATACAGGATGGGGAAAAAGTAATGGAAACCCTGAAAAATCTCGAAAAATGAGTTTTAAAGAAAAATATTTCCTATAAAAGTTGTAGGGCTTAAAAAAACCTATTTATTAATATTATCAGTTTGACCTTGAATTACGTTGCCAAGGTCAGGGCAAGGTCATCTTGAATTTTTTAAATGAAACCTTCCATTTTTTGTTACATACTGTTATAACTTATTTCAAGAGCTTTCCAAAACACTATAATAAAACATTTTTTTCATTAAGTACTTTTTGAATTATAAAGATTTGAAGTTAACACTTTTTTACATAAAATGTAAAATATATTTTGTAAAATATTCATTATGTTTCCTATAAAAGTTATAAGGCTTAAAAAAAAAGAAAATACATTGTTGCTTTTAAAAAAAGATGTATGTAATTTTTAACACATTTTTTTAAAAGCCACTGTGTTTTTTTACACCAATTGATTGGTCTCATTATTAAAGTATTAAAGTATGATAATCAAAAACTGAATTATTATATTTTACAAAAGATATTTTACATTTTATGTAAAAAAGTGTTAACTTCAAATCTTTATAATTCAAAAAGCACTTAATGAAAAAAATGTGTATATATATATATATATACATTTTTTTCATTAAGTGCTTTTTGAATATATATACCGGGTGTCCGGTGACTCGCGTTTTACATGTTAGTGGGAGATTCCTGAGGTGATTTGGAGACAATTTTTCCTCAGCGAAAATGATAGAGATCATCATTTTTTAATGTTCCCAATTTTTGAAATTATGTATCTATGTAACTAATGTAAGCCTTAAATTAAAATTCTATTACAGTAAACTTTATCTAAAATTAACTAAAAAATGTAGTTTTGTTAATAATTTATTTTTACAAGGCTTAGTTTACAAAAAAGCTTTTATTTTCAATCATTTATAACTCAAAAATGATTGGTGCCTGGACATTTTTGCTGAGGAAAAATCGTCTCCAAATCGCCTCAGAAATCTCTCATTAACGTGTTAAACGCGAGTCACCGGACACTCTGTATATATAATATATAAAATAAATAAATTTTTTTGAAGAGTACGAGCTACTTGTCCACGTCTGCTTATCAACAATGAAAAAGTAGGTATGCAGGATCGTTTATCACGTTTCTTAGGACTACGTCAGGGTTTGATGTTTGATGCCAAGAATGTGCAAGGAGGCCGCGATATAGCTTGGCTGGGCGATTGCGATACTGGTTGCCAATTACTGGCTGATAAACTTGGCTGGGGGGTAAAATTTTTATATTTATATTTGTATTGTTTTTCTCTTGTATTGCTTTATGCAGTATATGAATTAATATCTACACGTTTTGATATATGTATTTCTGTGTAAATATTAATGAAACATAATTTTTATATATACATAGCAGTAATAATGAATAATTCATAATTTTAGGATGAATTGCAAACTATTATCCAAAAAGAACATGACATTTTGGATATAAAAAATCAAAATGACAATTTGGATGTAAAAAGTCAAAATGACAATTTGGATGTAAAAAGTCGAAATGAGAATTCGGATGTAAAAAGTCAAAATGACAATTGATAATGATATTGCATATTACTGGTGAATGATTGAAGAGTTTTTCTCTAAGAAGAAACAGAAGTCATTTTATTCGCATTTTATTTTATCTTAAGAATATATATGGATATGAAATTTTAGTTAAGATAGGTGGTAAAAACACTGTTGAAACATTAGATATCTGCACGATACAATACAATACATTAAAAATGTTATATTTGTCGATTTATTTTATTGATTCTTATTCGTAAATTAAATAATAATATTAATGTTGCAATCTTAATGTGTAGCATTAGGAATGACCATTGACTCAATCCTTCCTAATCATGCATCATTTAATTTCTGTGAATTGTATAAAAAAATCCAAATATAAATATGGATTTTGTGATACAACTGTTGGAAAATAAGAACATAATGGAGTATATTTAATAAGAACATAATGGAGTATATATTTTCTTTTATGGATACTAAATGTTTATTAATGCTTCAGAAAAATGTATATTAAATAAAAATAAAAATAATATGGTAATGGTCTATAATTATTCTATACTATTATATTCTTTACTTAAAAATTTAATGCTCATTTATTCTAAGCATTTAAAAAAGTGTGTGCTTGCGTGTGTGCGCGCGCACGTATTAAATATTATGCGTATATTATTTCCACACATATATTTTAAAAAATACTTTTATAGAATCTTCCCTATCTTGAAATATGTTTTTTTTAAATAACTAATTTTTTTAAATAAAAATAATATATTTCAAGTACAAAAGTTGTAGAGTTTGAAGGGAACATAATATTGTGACCTAGAATTTCCTTTGGGTGGCATGTTAAAATAATAATAATAATATAATATTGTATAAGAAAAATATTATATAATATAATTTTAACACGACACATAAACGTAATATATTGACATGTAACTTTATGTGTCATTGATTTAAAATAATGAATGGTGCTTTTCCACCCTTACCCAAGGGGTAAAAGAATAAAGTACATCATCATTATTAAATAATGACGATAAAAATTTAAATCATTCAGTAAAAGATAAATTTGTTTGGTATGTTGATCCTGAAACATTGGATATTCGCACGCAATTAGTTAAATTAATTAATATATTGATACAAAAAATATAGCAACGCTGAAACATTTGATGCATTTAAATGTGAAATGTGGAAATTAAACATTTCATTTTTAAATATTGTTGCCATCATGTGATAATACCATTGTTATAATAGGAAAACATCTGTCATTTAAAAAAAAATTAGAAAAATTAAAAATGTATTAATATTTTCGTGTCCATATATATGAGTATGTCATTCCGTTGCATTGGTTGCACATGTTGCATGAGCAAAAATATCAGAATATTGTGAAAAATTCATAAAAAGATTGCGAGTTATATTGACCCTTTAAGTGTTAATGACGGAAAAATCCGTCAAAATAACACTGGCCAAAAGTGCTTCATGACGAAAAAATCCGCATATTTTATAACGCCAATAAATCACTTTTGCAGTGCAGCAATTGAACTAATAATACATACTTTAATGTTTTTGAGGTCGCTGATTATAAGTTTGATATCGAATTTTAGAAATTGAAAATTGCGGATCCAATATGGCGGATAATAATTTTTCAAAATTAATATAGTTCTAAAGCGTTTTTCTTGCCTGACACTCAAGGGGTTAATAGTAGTCTCGAGTGTTCTGTTATTTATCAAGAATTTTGCGAATGTTTCCAGAAAACAAACAAAAAAATTACATAGTGGCTTTTTCATCATGTATATGTTGAAAGACTTCTTGAGTTTTGGGATACAATCAAGTTTTTATTGATCGAAATGATCGTAAGTGAAAAGTCAAAGTCAGGAGAACATTTCCCAGATAGCACAGGTAGATTCTGAGTATATACGCAGTATATCGCAAACGTAGATTGTGGATATCCCATTAATATTTGAAATACGTACAGGATATTTTGAGAATGTACGGAGGATGTTCGAATGTCTGCCTACTCAGCAGTATATACTGAGAATATTTCTTGGTATATCATAAGTATATTAATAAAATATTTTAACACATTACTAATGTTTACTAAAAATATCTCTTGGTATCAGTATATTTGTAGAATATTTTAAGCATATTTCCAGTAAACACCAAGTAACTATATAACTGTTAGTTATAATATCCTACTCAACAATGTAAATGCAATATAACACACGTGTTTACATTATTGAATGGGAAATTATAACTAACAGTTATATAATAGTTACGTGTTTGCTGGGTTACTAATAAATCCCCTACAGCACGATATATACGGAATATTGCAAGAATATTTCTGCAAACGTGAATATAATATTTATAAAATATTGCAGAATGTTTCTTTTATTTTCTTTATTTATTCGGACATTTATTTGTCCGATTGAGCAATCAATTTTAATATTTCAGTTCCCTGTGTTGAAATCGTATCAGAAAAAATTAAACTGATAAAAATTATTGATTGAAATAACTACTTTTTACATGCTTTATATAATTTCCTGACTAAATCTTAATAGCGAGATAGATAGCTCAGATTGCGACGCATAGCGGTAAATGAAAAAACTATGTGAGAATATACGTATATTCTGAGAATATACAATATATATATATATATATATATATATACGAGAAATAATGTACTATAAAATGTGTAAAAAAATGCTAACAGTATATTCAAAGAATATATGTAAAAGTATATTCTGATAAGTAGTAGTAGTAGTAGAAAGAGCGGGTGGGACTATATATAAGTCCCTAAAGGTCACCTAGATCTAAAAGTTCCTTTGCGACACCCCGCTGTGCTTGAAGATTATCCCTGTAAACCCAATCCGGCGTTTTTCGCCGGATTGCACAGGTTGTTTATTTTTTGATTATGTAGCTCATCCGGTTCCATGAATGTGGACCCTAGATGTCTATATCTTTTCCAGACAAGGGCTGGACAGCGGCACAGAATGTGTATGCTGTCCTTATCTTCGCCACATAGTCGGCATGTGTTTTGCGCAACTAGTTTTAAGTTGAACATGTGAGCCCGGAGGGCCACATGTCCTGTGAGAAAACCGAGTGCAAGTCTCATTGTCAGTCTCCTCCGATTGAGAGCCAATAGCTCTTTTGATCTGCTAGGTGAGAGTTGATTAATCAGGATCTTAGCTTGTCTGCATCCTCGTGCGCTCCCCCCAGGAGGCCCGATGTCTGCTTCGGAGCTGTTCCTTGATAACATTTTTGCCCAAGGCAAAGGGGACTCCAACGATCTGTTCGGTCGGTTCTTCAAGGATGCCCGCCTTCGCCAGTTCGTCCGCCACTTCATTGCCTTGTATGTCACTATAACCTGGTACCCATATCAAGGTAACCTTGTTGTTTTACCCAAGTCTGTTAAGTGCTTGCATGCAGTCCCAGACCAGGGGAGGTTCCGTGGAGGGCTTTGCAAGAGCACCCAGGGCTGCTTGACTATCAGAACATATTGTTATGTTCCTGTTGTCTGCCCTGGCAGTAATTTGTATGTTTGTACATTCTAGGATTGCTGAGATCTCGGCTTGAAAGACCATGGCCAGCTTACCCATAGAGATGCTGATTTTGTGGTCATTCTTTGGTGCATATATACCTGCCTCAAAGCAACCATTGTTGCCTGAGCCATTCGTGAACCAGACATCTGGACCCAGGCGGTCTAGAAAAAGACGATTGTTCCAGCTTGATATTCTGATAATATATGTAAAAATATATTCTGAGAATATATATACGAAATATAATATATTGTAAAAGATATTCACAGTATATTCTAAGAATATATATAAAGTATATTTTAGAATATACATAAAAGTATATTCTAAGAATATAATGAAAAATAATATACTACAAAGGATGTTCTGAAAAATACTAAAAATTTACGTAAAATGATATTATACTACAAGAGATATAATGATATTCTCAGTACATTATATTCTGTACATACATTAACAGCATGAAAATAGAATATTCGTATAATATCATGTGCTCTCTGGGTTATTATCTATAATGAATACCCCGCAAGATATGATTACAATTGATGTCGAATCAACGTCGAAAACATATTGAAAACTAAATGACATCATCGATTTCGATTTGTGTCACAACTTTTGATGAGTTATCGACTCAGAATAAATCGATTTCGACTCAATAGTGATTATTTTTTTTTACTATAATAATGATTATTAAGTTGATCAATAAGTCCGTGCGGTTTTTGGCAATAGATGGCTTTAATGTTTTGAAAAGCAACTATATTCAATCAAAAGATAGGTGCGGTATATGGTAAGGATGTTGTGAAAGAACGTGTGTGCCAGAAATGGTTTGCAAAATTTCGTTCCGGAAATTTTTTTAATCAAGACGCACCACGCTCGTGCCGGCTAGTTGAGATTAATCAAGACAAAATAAAGGCGTTAATAAACGTTTTACGACGCGAGAGATTGCAGATGTTCTTCAAATATCAAAAACAAGCGTGGCAAACCGTCTACATCAACTTGGCTACATTAGCCGGCTCTAAAACCGCACGAACTTATTGACTAATCTAATATTATTAAATTATAAAATTATCTTTACATTATCTAAGTCGCTAAGTAACGTAATTTTTTATTTACATTTGCATTTTATAATAGCCCAGCAAACACGGTATATAAATGTTATATACATCAAGCATGTTACATGTAACGTATATGTTAGTTGTAATTTTCCACTCATAGATGTAACATTTTTAATATAACATATGTTACATTGTAGTTATATTGTCATTATATCCCAAGATAGCACTGATTTATCAATACATCAATGTGCTATTTGGTATATAATTACAATATAACTACAATGTAATATATGTTATATTAAAAATATTATATCTATGAGTGGGAAATTACAATTAACATGAATGTTACATGTAACGTGAACGTTATATTACCTGTTACATTCCATTTATTATAGCAATATAACAGTTATATATCGGTGTTTGCTGGGAGTAGTTTAAAAAAATGATTAAAAAAAAGAAATGAATCGAAATAGCATCGATATCGATAATCTAATAAATGATGCACAATATCGGATGTATCTAAAAAAATGTATAAATTTGCTACATTTAAAAATCTGGCGATGAATTGCGCGTCACAAATAATCTTTTCCTTTAAAAATGTTATAGAGCACGCAGACTTCGAAATATGGTAAGCATATTTCGAGC